TGACTTACCTGCTTTTCAAAGAAACTATCCTGAGATTTCTGGGAAACTTATAATCTACTTTTTTAAAAAAAAAAAAAAAAAAAAGTGTGCGTGTTAATTGATCTTGTGCTTGCTTTTCTATTATTGGTTAATTTGGCTCTTTCTAAGTGTTTGCTCCAGACTAAGTAAGAATTTTGTGTCTTTTTACACACACAGGATAACTTTCTTCCAAATAAAAACCCAAACGTTCCTGCCGTTTTCCAGGCCAAGATTCTGTTTGCCAAGTTTCATTCTAGTTCTTTTTTGCACAGTTAGAAGTTCCTCAATTTTGTGGTTACAGAAACGCTGACAAACACAGTTATATGCAATTGTGTGTTTTAGTTACGAGCATTCAATTCATTTTTTCCTTTTAAGGTCATTCTTTCATTAAGTTAGTTTCACACACTGCTGTTTATGATATCAACACTTTCTCCCTTCCTTCCTTCCTTCTCCCTCTTAAATGACACTCATTTCCCAAGGACAGTGTCTGTACTGGAGTTCTTTGTCAGATTTGTAGCTTATCAAGAGAAGCTATTCAGTGATTTTTATTTAATGGCTCTATTTAATGCTGTCATGCATGCTGCTTTTATTTTATTTCTACCAAGACGCTGATCTCTGTTTTATCGGCCACTGTCTGTTGCCAGGCTAACTTTTGAATAGCCTGGGTTAAGCTTATGTTACCACTCAGGCAGTTGACTTTTTTTCAGAAAAGGATGAATCAACTTCTTTGTTCAGCAAAGGGGAGAGAGGAGGAGAGGGAAACGCTTGTTTCAGGTGTAGACTTTTCCTGTAAATTCTGAGTGCAGTGAGTCTACTTCTTCCCTCCCCCCGCTAGCTGCCAGTAGAAATGGGTTTTTTTACATGAGTGGTGCTACTCTTGGATTGAAAACCTTCCATTGTTTGGCTGAGCTGGTGTTTAGTTAACACTTGAGTGCTGCTTGTGTGCAGCATATCCAACTACGGAAATGACAACATTGCACATAACTGTCCGTTTGCTCCCTCTTCAGCCTCCCTCTAGCTCTAGCATGTGTGTTTGGATTGTAATGTTCCATACAAGATGACTTTTTAAAAAACTCAGAAGTGCATGTATCTCTCTCTCTCTATTGCTTCCAGACCTGGTAGGCAACATCAGCATTCCATGGCTGGCTGGGTGAGCCAGACTTGGAAGCAGACTAAATCCCAGAGCAGTCTGGGTCTGGATTCATAAAGATAATGCTTCTGGCAGAAAGGGCACCCATCTTGTTCAGAGATGGCTTTTTAGGATTGTCTTCAGATATCTCACTAGCTGTCATGGTCTGTGTCTTCAAGCGGGGAGTAGTGCTTTTGGTCTGATGCATCAGTAAACTTTTTAGTAACTGCAAGAAAGTGCCTCTGAAATTCCTTTGCTGGAGCATGCACTAAGGAGCAGGCAGAAGTGGCAGTTCTAACACGAACAACATATCCAAGCATGTCCACTGCTCCACATAATCCTGTGTGAAAAAATCCAGAAGTAGCACTGACTAAAGGTATAGACCCAGCACCACGATGCAACCGGAAAAGTGGAGATAGTAATTTGAGCACTGAACGTGCTTAAACATAGCTCTTCCCCTCCTCTTCCCTCCCCACCTCAAAAAAAAAAAGAAAAAGAGCAAAAGCTCTGTTTCTGATTAGTTTGAAGATCTTTAGAGCTTCTTGATTCAGACATTCTCTTTAGCACTAATGAGTATTACTATTGGCTTAATACTGTAAAAAATAGCATAACTTCCCCCAGCTTCTTTCTTGGAGATGGCTGACTGCTTTTTTCCTGCGATTTTGATGGAGATGGAATACTGCAGAAGACATCTTGGGCAATTATTATTTTTTTTTCCTAAAATCAGCATGGTTGTTCTATAATCACCTACATTTTTTAATGAAAGGTACTGAAATTTTGCAGTTCCTCAGTTCTAAGTACTGCTACCATGTGCACTGCCTGCAGTAGGAGGCAGAGGAAGAGAGATTTCTCAAATCATTTGTCCTCTATTTGTGAACTAGATTCCTAGCTTTTCCACCAAGATGGAGCCATGAGCTGCATTCCCTCCATACCCACACACCCCCCTCATATTTCTGACCATATCTCTCAGACATTCTCTCATAGGAGTAGAGAGAGCAAATATTTCTCCTCTGTTTGGGTCAGGAAATGGATGTTTGAAGCTTTTGATGTCAGTTTGTCTCTCTTCATCCCCACCTAAATCCCTGCTGCCTCTTTTCATAGCTTGTTAAAGGAAAACACTGCAGTTAATTTAACAAACCCTTTCAAAGAGGCTGAGAGGAAGCAAGCAGGACACAGCAGGGTGGGGAAAACAGAAAAGCCCTGTCTTGTGATTAGCACAGCAAAATGCTACACTTGGAGCTACAGAGTCTGATTTTTGGGGACAGAATTGAGGCAAGTGGGAAAGTCATCAGCATGTTGCTCTTCTGTATGAACGGCAAATGGCTGTTGTAGCATTTCTTTCTCTGTCAGCCCAGCTCAGCCTACTGCCTTTTTTATTAGTGTGGGGTCTGGGTTTTGGCTTTTTTTTTTTGCACAGGCTATATGTTCATTACACGTGTGGAGTGAGGGTATGAGGTAGGCAAAGCTGTGGATCTTTTGAGGATTCTTAACTATGCAGCTCCTTAATTGTAGACTTCTTATGCGTGTATGCAATCATAATTTCTGAAGTTCTAGCCTTTCTTACTTCATTTAATTTCTGAAGTAAAATATTCTTTCAGAGCTTTGTTACACTAAAGTTACTGAAACACAATACAGAATTCGGCTCCAAGAGGTTATTTCTTTGATAGCTTTGACTGCTATAGGAGCTTAATGAAAACATCTGTAAGCAGAATGGAAGCTAGTTTAATATTACACTACCATTAATATAAAATATAATCTCAAAATATTTCAGGCAGGGCATAATAATAGTAACCATGGAAACTTTGCCTGAAGATTTGAAAGGATGGGGCATCTGGTAGGCTCGCTTACTTGTAGGCAGGAGAGAATTCCGGGTTGCAGTTTAGATTGAGGAGGAGAACTGGTAATGAGGAGAGGGGCTTAGTTTTGGTACAGCAGTGGCTGCACCGTAACATTAAGACTGTTTGGTGCATATGTATGTACTTATCCATGGTCAACTCATATATTTTTATATAAAAAAACAACCTTACATAGAAAAAAAAAAAATCTGGATTTATTTCTTCAGCATGATTCTTGGGTTGGGGTTTAGGTTGTCATGCTTTTTTTTATTGCCTGACTCAGTATTTTGAGCTGGCTAAGTACTTTATTGATTGTGATGAAGAGAAACTAGGGGGGTGATGAGTGGGATCCTAAATCCTCGTCTGTAAGCTTACAGTGTCTAGTATTAAATTTTCTCATGTTTTTATTAAAACCTGTAAACACTATTAAGTGAAGCTCAGCAGCTTTGCCTAGGAGGAGGAGAATGCGCACACATGAGACAGCAGGACTAGGACTCTTCATGCTGGTACAGGCGCTCAGAAGTTTTGGTGCCCAGCTTGAAGTTCTAACTAATTGGCTTTGAAAATATGACTTCTGGTTCCTTTGTAGCACCATGGCTTTGACTGTTCAGTTTGCAAAGTGTATGTGTGTGTGTGTAAGCAGTGTATTTTCTAGTGCATTATAGTGGAGTCTTCTGTTTTGTCTTTGGTTTTGTTTAACTCTGGCTTAGGAACAATAGTTTTTTAACTTTACAGTATCTCATGTAATGGTGCATGCTTCAGCCTGCATGGAATGTGGCTTCCCATCCATGTGGAGTGACTCATGTTTCACAGATGTTGGGACAGAGGGCTACAGCAGAAAGTATAACACATTAAAATCTATGAATAAACTTCCGTCTAGAATCTGCAAATTCTGTGCTGGCATGCCTTGTCTGATCCAGAACGTGCATAAAAGTCATAGCTCTTAACAAGATTTGATAGGGATTGCTCAAAACTTGTTAACAAAAGATTGAGCTCTGGTACTGCTTAAGGATGTTTCAGTGATCACTGAACAAAAAAGGGATAAAATGTTCTCCTTTGTCTCCCTTTCCATACACACAGTCATTTCAAGTACAGGGATTGAATTAAGTCTTTGGAAAAAACAGAAAGCCCATACAATGCAAGTTGAATTTCAGGTATGCTTTGGTTATCTTTAGCTTCCTGGATGGAACAGATTCCATATTCAGTTATTGTTTTAAAGAGGGAGCCTGGAAACTTGTGACCCTTCATCTTTGTCTTTTATATGTCAGTAAGAACAGATACAAATACTCCAGCTCTGATCGTGCAGCCTTATATGGGACAAGGAAACCAGCTAATTCAACCATATGAGAGTTTTAAGTAATAGTATCATGTGATAGCATAATTGTCTTGCCTACTTGGCAATATGTTTAGATTAAGCAAGTTTGAGATAAGCTAAGTAACTTATTTTAACATTTCTTGCAAGAACTTGTTAATAAGGTGGCCTTTTATTTAAGACAGCTGGAACTGGTTGTAGAATTCAAACATCCTGATGCCCTGTAGAAATGTAAATAGAAGCAGAAGTGAGATAATGGTCAGAGTGTCTACAATTGGAGAAAATGCCATCCCATGCTATAGAGCAGAAATGAAAAAAGTTTGGACTGGCTGGATTCAGGCACCAGCTGAACAAAAGAGCTGAGTGCTGGTAGGGTCAGTCTCAAATGCAGACATCTCAGAAGTACAAGGCTGAGGCTACTCTGTGAGATGTTGCTGCTATGCAGGAAATGTATTTGACAAAACCACTCGCAGTCTTTAACTTTAGTCTGCTGAAGGCTTTCTAGTCGTAGCATTTTGATTGTCATTCAGGTTTTGAATCAGTTTTGCTCAGGAGTTGATGCTTTGAAGCAGAAACTAAATAAGATTATAGTTTACTGGGCTTGTTTGTTTGAAATGACTCAGTAAGGTTAAAGAGACAGTTTTGTCTTTATGAGTTCAGTTCGTATGCATGGCCCATCTCACTTGGTTCCTCTGTCTTCTCACAGTTCGCTGCTCCGCTATGGTGGAAACCTCTCCCTTCAGAGTGCCATGAGTGTCCGGTTCAACAGCAATGGAACCCAGCTGCTGGCACTGCGTCGGCGCCTTCCCCCGGTCCTCTATGACATCCACTGCCGGCTGCCTGTCTTCCAGTTCGACAACCAAGGGTACTTCAACTCATGTACCATGAAGAGCTGCTGTTTTGCAGGTGATCGTGATCAGGTAATAAGCAAACAATGCTGTCCTGAGTCTCCAGAGTTACCATGAGTGTTTGAAAACATCTCTGCAAGTTTGAAATTTTTTTTTTTTGTTCCTGATTCAGGAGATAAAACAGGAGGCAGGACACGTTTAGGCTTACCTCAGAACTGTTTTGCAACATAAGCTCTGAAAGAAGAAAAGCATATAGGAAAGCACGTGATAAATTTTACCACTTGTTTGATGTGATCTAATACTTACTTGAAAAGTGATATTCACAAGAAAAATATTTGTAGAGTCTTTTTAGGTCCAGTTAATATGAGTTTAGAACTGTGAGTAGACAATATTATCTACATATGATAAGGAAGCATCTTCCTTTCATTTCAATATTGCTGCTTAATGCAGTAGAGGCAATCCCACAAAGCATAAATTTTGTGGATTTATAGAGTTATTGATTCTTATTTCAAATTATAATGTTTCTCCTTTAGTACTATACTACTGGATCAGATTATAGGTCTGTGTAGTTCAGTGTTCTGTCAGTGGTGACGGTGGTTAGGAAGGAGTAGTTTGTTCCTTCACTGAGGCAGGACTCTGTTCCTACTACCAATCACAAGGAAATAAGTCACACATAAAGTGACCAACAGCAGTTTGCATGATTCCAACCCCTACTATTCTGTGATTCTGTGATTCTGTACTTAATAAACACTTACACTGTTTAAAGACAAATACATATTTTGAAGGCATGATAGCATAGAACTAAGATCTGAATTTTTTTTTGCTGTCATCAATAGAAATTCTGCGGTCAGATTTTGTTCATAATTCTGTTGCTGCTGCTGCAGGAGGCAGAGTTGAGCTTCCTTCAGACTGCAAGTAGGAAGTATATTTACGTCACTGAACTTGAGCAGTGTCTTTACGTATTTTTTGGCAGAAGGAGTGTGAAAATGCAATAATGAAACCATTGTAAAAAATACGGTGGTTTACTATAAAGAATGGGCAAACACAAGTATTGTTTCAGAAGAAAACTCCTGGTGATATGTGGTCCATTATTTGGGCAGCCTAAAGATGACTATTTTTTTTCCTCTGGAAGTCAGGGTAAGCCTGTGTACACTGACAGATAGTTTAGCTTCTCATCTGTTACTGAAGATCTAGATAAAAGCCTTAGTGTCTGTTGTTGTACTTTCTAAGCCATTTTCTTATGGGTATGGTGTTATTTTAATGGGAAAAATGTGGCTGTTTTGCGTTGGGTTGATGCGGTACTTCAGAAGCCTGCATTTTTTAAAAACTTGGCTTGGCAGACTTGCTGTTCAGATAAGTAGCAGTACATAATGCTACTAACCAGTTAGAAATCAGACCAAAAGACATTTATATTCCCTTAATAATGCTGTAAGAAGCTAACAGGGAAGATGAAGTTGAATGTGGATCCTTGTAGGATCTAAACTTTGTGTGGGCTCATCTGAAGGGATCGAAGGATAGAAAGTTGTGTTCAAATTATGAGTGGCACTTGTGGTAGGAAGGCTTGTTCAGAAATTTTCACTTATTGCACCTCTGATTTTCTGTCTTTGATTTTATTAAAATTTATTAAAATGATGACTTTTTTTTTTCTCTTTTAAGCTGTCTTAAACAGTTAGGTTTTAATACTTCACACAGAGCCTAGTAATTTTAAAATGTGACTATCCTGTGTTCAAAAACTCTTATGTGTTTTCTGCACAGTTAGTTCATCTGATAAAGATGCTTTTCAATTCTATATTTTAACCATAACAAGAAAGGGATATCCTTAACTCGTCAGTGCTTAGAATGTAGTTGCACTGGGGGGGAAAAAAGTGAACTACTGAAAGGCGGAGGCCTTGCTTACCCAGCTGAGGTGATGCAAGACCTTTCACGGATTGAACTTCCTAACCTGGCAGAAGCATTTACTTCTTTTTCTGGATTAATGACTTATATTGACACTCAGAGGGCTCTGGCGTGCATCTGAATGCAATATAAGGAAGGGATTAGAGGGTGAGTGATGGAGAGGTGGTCTTTCAGCATCGTGAGACTCAGCTCCCCACAGAACTACAGCCTTTGCTAATCTTTCTATGAAGTTTATACATGGCAAATGGTTTACTCACAGGAAGTTTTCCTGTAAGTTATGATTATCAGGGTTTAAAAACCCACAACTGTTAGTGTCTCAGTATTTGCCTTTGAAAGTTTGATGTAACACAGTAGTGAAAATATACAGAGAGGGTAAATGACACCATGTTCTATGTGGAGCTATTGGATTCTAGTATGGCAAAAATGAACAGATTCTGAGCTGCAAGCACACAATTTAGGAGTTTGTTTAGAGATCACCCTTATATTTGAAGAAATTAAATACTTAAGTTCCCATAACGATCAGATATGTTATTCTTACTTTGGCAAGGTGTGTGTGTTAAATTAATACAACTTCTTTGCATGAATAAAACAGACTACTAGTTGGGGAACAGTTTGGTTGGTTTGTCTGTTGATGGCAGTTAGGCTTGCTATACTATATTTTCTCAGTCTTGTCTTTTTAGCGCCCACAGATTGTGACGGGTACTCAACAGGACTCAGATCCAGAAGTCCTGACTTGTCACTCTAGAGGGAAGCCTGCTACCAGCAGGTGTGCAGTGATCTACATACCAGCACACTTCACTGGAGCATCTGTGATGCAAGTAGATTGAAACTTCTTAACAAAGAATGAAATACCGTTATTGCTTCAAGGAACAAAAGTCCGAGAGATTCACCTGTTAACCCCAATTTTTTTTTTCCTTTTTTTTTTTTTAGTTTAACACTTTCTGAAGTGCTTAGATGGTGTTGAGTTGTTGCAGGCATTTTGGAGATGTGGGTTGTAGCACAAGCTAAGTGACAGGGATCTTGGAGAATGAACAGCTTTGCTTCTTTTTGTGTCCTTGCAAACTGCTGTTTTCGTCTAAAACAATTATTGCCCTAGTCCTTGAGAACCTGATACGAAAATCGGCGAACAGTATATGCAAACATTTTTCCTAGAAATGCCACAATCAGACTTTTCTTGTTTCTTAGAACTACCAAAACTTGAGAGGCAATGTTTAGCTGGTGTTTTATTTGTACCCATTTATAATTGCCTTCATTTGCTCCTCTCAGAACTCTGTCTTTTGTCTGTGTCATGAGCATAATGACTGCATTCACATGCCACTGATTTTTCTTTCCTTTGTAGGAGAGCGCTGGTGTTGGTAGGTAAATGCATTCAAAATTGTATGCCATTTGTGTGATCTGGGCGCTCATGTGAGTCATACAGCTGTGGAAGGGACGAAGGACAAGACAGGATAGATGGATCAAGCATACCTTTCATCTGCCCCCTCCCTTTGTTGGCTACAGAGACTTATGTGAGAGCATAATCTATCTGTCCTTCTGGTACAGGTGTCCAGCCCCAGAATTTTAAAGGCAGTTTATTTATGCACCTAACTCCCACTGGCTTTACCCTAGTGTGCACAATTGTTTGTTTACGTACAAATCGTAAAATGTGTGAGAAACTCAAGTTGTGTCAGGATGCTGGGGGAGTTTCCATTCTTCTTGTCAGTGTTAGAATTTGGGAAACGTTGTTTAAATGCTAAGGATTTTTAGTTGCTAGACTAGTAAGGAAAGTATCTTCTTGGATCTGAGTATATGGGAAGTATTAAAGGGCTTCAGGTAACAAATGCATTTTTAAGTGTAGGAGCCTCAGAGGCCATAGGGATGGGCCACAGCAAAAAAAACCACACAAAAACCTACGAAACACGAAAACCCCTCCAAACTAAAATAGACCAAGAGCTTTTCTTGCTGAAGAACTGGTGCCTGTGTCACAGTGATGAATGCTATCAGCTCATTCCTTTTTTCACTGTGCAGATAATGTGAGACTCTATAACGCTTGTAGATTTAAATTCAACTGCTTATTGCCCGCTTTAAAAAAGGCAGGGGTGGGGAGAAATAACTTGTACCCTGTGAATCAAACAAAAAGTGTCTTGACTCTGGCATGCCCTCAGACATTACATCACCACTCAGCCTTTTCTGTTGACATTACGCTGGTATAGGAGAGTTTCAGGAATGCACCACTCACGGTACTGCCGACTGCTCCAACTCCCTATAAAGTTACAGCCTTCATTATGTTGAAGTCTGTGTGCTAAACAGCCCTGGTTAGGGACAACCCACTTTTTAGCAGGACAGAATTATTACATGAATGTAACTCTTCCAAGAACAGGATTAGCTATATAGGTGTCAGGCATCTTGTATGGTTGTGCATTGCCTTTGTAAAGAAATAGAACTTGTCTTCTCTGTTTTTCTTTGTGTCATCTAACTTAAAGGCCATTTATCTTAGGAAATAGTACTTACCAATGTCTAGCTTTAAAAACTGAAAAGAAGAAAGGGAATTATTCTTCTAAAGAATGTATTGTGAGTTTCCTGTGCATAGAAGACTTCTTAAAGAATAGTAGCTTACTGCAGTCAGTATTTCTTACTGTATGAAAAGCACTCAATGTGCAAATATGTTGTTGTGCTTGGAAGAAAAGAAAATCAGTGTCTTACTCTGTCTTAAATTGACTTCTTCCAAGAATTACTGATGAGGTTGTAGTTTGGTTTTTGCATTATCTAAATGGCAGCTTAAATCCCAGCTATATGCACAACATTACATACATGTAAAATAACTACGAGTAGTTTATCTGGCTATGAAATTATTTATGTATTTCTTCCCCATCGCTTTTGGTAATTGACATAGGAGGATCATATTGAAAATGGCTCTTCAGAGTCAGAGTCTTGACAGAAGGTGCTGGGAGTTTTCTTTAACCCGTCTTATTCTGATCACCTCTTCCCTGTTCCCTGGGGCATCCTGCCTGCTGCATTTGCTGTCTCCCTTCTCTTCTGCATTCTGTAAGCCCTTGGGGGAGGTTTTTAGACCTCTGGACAGCGATGCATTAGCCCAAAGGGACCCATACTGAAGCTAAATTCTGGTGGGCTGGAACCCTAACTCAGGAGACTCTGAGGTTTGCAGGCTTTGTGTCACTCATAGGTGCATCACAGGA